TGGACAATGAAATGTTCATGAACGGCTCGCAGGACTCCGACTCCCACAGTCCTCTCATGGTTTACATCCGCAGCAAGTCTGCAACCAGTAAACGCAGCTCTGAGAGATACCAGGATTACGTCAAGAAGAAGCAATCATCCTGGACCACGCAGGAGTACAAGGACTACAACAAGCAGTGGGGACATCAGAAGCAGTGGAAGGACTATAGCACTTCGACCTGGAATGATTATGGGGACCATGGCAGTCAATCCGACAGCAGCCGCCGATGGTATCGTCGATCCGACTGACCACGCAGATACGTTCAGCACCACGAACAATCCAGATGATTGATCCTCCTCGTCTACAAGACTATACCATGAGTGAGAGATCAATAGTTTCACAATTGTTCCGCGTGTACATAGCGTTGTACATCACCCTTTGATACAATTAGGTATCCAAAAAGAAGCAGCACATAGTGTTTCCCATTTCGAAGGCCAAGACATTCCATCCAAGCAGAAGAAGGATGAATCCGGCACTTTTAATCACATGGCTACGGCACACATCAAGGCTACGGTCAAAGGCCATGAAGCCAATAGTATTTCATACTTTGTGCTGGAGATCAAACGAAATTTGTGGTTTTGTGTTCTGTTTTTCAGACCACTGATCTCCCGCAACATTTGGCTCAAGGCCCCTTTTGCAGAATCACGACCATCCGAGCGTGAAGACAAAAGAGCCGTTGCAGGCCGCTTACAGGATTATCCACAAGACAATCCACCAGGGACAATCCATCCTCCAATCATCCACTACTGGCATATTGGACTCTCTCCGGAATAGATTCAGGGACCAACAACGACCTCAACTACCACAGGGTTCCAGTTCCCTCCGGGGATAGGCGCCTGGGGCAGTGGGCCTCACCTTCCCCTCCCCAAATTAGCCGGCTTCGTACAACTATTCAATATATATTGTTTTTATCAGGGGGACCCTTCCTATCAGGAAGAAGTGATTACTAAAAACACATGGACGCTTGGAGGGTTTCCTGGCAACAAACTGGATCAGGTTGTTCAAGGTCTTGTGTGACGCGTGCTCATTGCCATCGCCTGGGCCACATGTCACATGTTGCAGCAACACCGCGACAGAAGTGCAGCTGACAGGCCCTTTCCTGTTGCAGGCAAGAAACATGTCACATGCGCATGGTACTCACACAACAATAGCACAACAGGCTATGCAGCTTTTCTCCCTATGACCACTGGGTCCCTTCTAGCGCTTCGGACGTGGCATGTTCTTGGCGATTCGGACGCTGTCACCTGGAACCTGAGGACTTGCGCATGAAAAAGCTATTGTTCTGTTGTTCTGTGCGCTCTGGAACTGGAAGCTCGTGCAATTGCGTCGCCAGGCTCAATTGCATGAAATCCTTGCCGATCTTCAAGACCTTGCCACTGCTTGCCTGCGCTTGCGCTTTTCTTTTCCTGCGCCCTTTCCTCTTGCTTTGCCATGTGTTTTGGCGTGCGCTTGGCCCTTGCCCTTTGACTGCTTCTTTGCCCTGGGGTGACACTCACACACCTGGAGAAGAACACAAAGGACTGCAAAGGGGCAGAAATGCAAATGTGATGCCAGAATTGGGGCTCAAGTTTTCTGACCTCTTCCAGTTTGTGCGAGGGCCAGGCACGCAGCCTTTGCTTGAGACGAAGATCGCTCGCGGAGCTGTGCGCTCATCAAGGGCAACGCTTTCAAAGAGCATGTCAACCAACAGCCCCTCACTGCACCTTTGGTGCGGGAATCAGCCTCCAGGATCTCATTGACATACTCCGGATTAGGTCCAGACCATGCTGCGCAAGCAGCTGTGGCTTCTTGCGGGTTGCTTTTGTGGCTTGTCATGCAAATGAAGACAGTTGGCAAGGAAGGCTGAGTCATTCAAGGTAGAACTCTTTGCGGATCCTCAAATTCAGCAGTGGCTCAGCAGGACCACGCTGCAGACAAACACCAAAGCCCCGCTGCCACACAAGCTCACATGACAACCCCGTTCCACATTTTAGTGTTGGCCGCAACTCACCTCAGCCAATGCTGAGGCATCAATGCATGTGGCCACTGAGATGGACAGCATGTTGAACTCCTGGCAAGTGAGGGGTGGGCAGGCAAGTAAGAAGGCAAGCTACCCCGGCAACCCCTTGCAACGCTCAACGTCATATCAATCGCAGCACGCAACAAATAGAGGGGCCAAAGCTCATTTGCGCAAGCACTGAATTAGGGCAGCGCAACAAGTAACGCAACTTGTCATGATACACCTGAGCGCCAAGCTCTTGCGCGTTGTCACTCCAATCTGCGCAGCATGGGAAGCGACTTGGCCCTGCAATAGCCTGCCTGAGCAAGCGCCTGCCATGGCAAGTATTTCAGCAGGTTAATCAGCAGACCCGAGTACAACGTGGGGCTGAGTCACGGCGGGGCATGTGCTTCACACCTTGGATCCAGCTGTGGTTGAACCACGTTGTAACACCAATCAAGTGTCCAGGATGCAAAGCCCAGGCAGGCTCACATCCAGGCAGGGTCACATGCGTCCAGCAGTCCTGGCACAAAGGCTCAAGGCCTGACGCAAGCAAACTGCTGGCCAAGTGGCCAAGCGCAGCGTAGCTGATACTTTGCAGCTTGTGACATGCAGCCAAGCCTGCGCAAGCCACTTTGATTCTAGGGGAAGTGTAAGCAACGCTACAATGACCAGGGGTGGCTCTCAAGCGACACAAGCCTTCTCCAGCCAACCCACAATTCCAGACAAACAAAAACAGGCTGGCGCTTTGCACACCTAACACGGCCTTGTTTCAAGGACCCGCAGACAGCTTCGTGAGGTCCCATTTGACCTCCAAAAAACGTATTTTCCTGTTGTCCCTTTAAACCAGCCCAAAAAGGGTACCCGTTTTGCAAAAGGTTCTTGCGACGCCGCAGGGCCTTTCGTCGCAAAAGCACTAGCTTTTAGTCGGCGCACATCGAAGATCTTATAGTTGCACGCTTCATGTTTCAATAGGTGCAGGAGTCTGGCTCTGGCTGTTCCCGACCTGTCGCAGTTTGAACATGGCACGGATTTTGTGAGAGGTTCCCGCGATGCCGCAGGGCCTTTCTCAAAAGCACTAATGACTAGAAACACACTCCGAAACAGTAAGAAAGATGCCCTCAAAAACACACGTACACACATGTACATTTGCACAGGGTGTCCTTTCTCTAATTCTTCCCAGCCAGTTCTTTTGACGCCCACATCTTGACACGCCTGGTCAATCACGAGAGTGGCCCAGTGTTTGAAGATGCAGTTCAGCCCAGCGAAAAAAGGATCGACTGCGGTTCCTTTCACTGACATCGGCACTGCAAGCCAAGCGCATTGACCCAGAAGAGTTTTGCTGAGCAGTTCAGCATGCGTGTGTGGCCCAAGTGCGTGCAGCGCACAGCCCAGCCCGAACAGCAAACTGCGGTCTTCTGCGGCTGACGCTTGGGCACTGGTCACGTCTGAAGGTCTTGTTTGCCCAAGGCAAAGCAGAGGTACTGCAGGGAAAGCAGGTGCCAGTTGTTTGGCATGTGAACACATGTTGCCACTCTTGATAGAGATGAGCCTCGATCAGTATGTGACACATGCTGTTTGCACTTGCCTCACTTTTAGATGGCTACATCCATCGTTTCTGTCTGAGAACTGCACCGACCTCACTGCAGCTAGGCCTGGCCAACGGAATGGATTGTGGGTAACATGTGCAAGGGGCCCGCGTGGCAAGCAACTTGACTGTCATGTGTACACCTGGTGGCAAAATGCTAGCTAGCACCAAGGTGATTCAGGGCACATGTCATGTGTTTGTGTCAGAGGCAACTGCCCAATATTGCATGTTTTGCATGATGTGGCTCAAAAACTCATTTGCCAAGATAGCCTTCAGCCTGACAGCGTTTCATGCTCTTCAGCGTTATTGCCAACGACCATGCGTCACTTGCTGTTGGCTCCGCCGACGCAAGAGTTGCTTGAAGGTGACCTCGCCATCTGCACCTATGGGCGGGCTGGCGAGGAGTGTGTCTGTGTGTGTTGTGCTACAAGCTGGCTGCACCAGCGGTACAGAAAAGTGCAAAGACACCTTTTTAACAGCATTGACACTTGGCGAAGGGTGGTAGAACTTGCCAGACAACTGACAATGTTGTTGTGCCCAGCTTCTACAGAAGGAAAACCACAGCCACACTTCCACATGTGCACAAACCTTGGCCTTGCACAAGTCAACTCCTGCAGGTTCAAGAAGGCAACCAGCTGTGGGCCAGCAGGTCAACTCCTGCAGGTTCAAGAAGGCGGCCAGCGAGACTCAGCATGCTTGTTGGCAGTGGCCCTGAGATGATTCGACGTGAGTGTCTTTGTTTGTTGCCAGACAAACGAACAAGGGCAACTAGTTTTTGGCCACGCCAAACTACAAAGCACGAATGGCGCAAGGAATCTTGACTTAGTTCCGCTATTGCCCACTTGTTCCACTTTTCCAATATATCCAGCTTGCGCCACTTGAATATTCGCGTAGAAACCTCACTACTCTAAACCTTCACTGATCTGACCCCTATGTCGTAACTTCCGAGTGTCGCTTGGTGTACGAATTTTTCAGGAGTTCATGCTCGGCAGGGTAACCAGTCTCTTGTTTTGGTAAGTTGCGTTACTAGTGTTATCAAGCTACCGAGCGGGTTGGGTCCTACTGTTGTGTGCCAGGGATGTTGCAGATGTTCTGTCAAGATGTTGGCAGGGCAATGCCGTTTTTTGCACAAAACTCATGCTGAGGACAAGCCCGAAAGCCGCAGCAATTTGAGCAAATCGCTACTTGTGACCGAACTGTTGCACGCTGTCAATTCAGGCAGTGCCTCTTGGATGCGTGGTTTGGACGGAGTTGCGATTGACCTGTTGTCAGTGTTTTCGCAGCTACGAGCTGCAAATTTGATGGGAACATGACATCCTTGCATGTCTATTTATTTGCCTGGCGCGTGGAGGTGTCTAGCATGGCTAATTGCAAGGTTGCGCAGATGCTTCTGAGGTCAGCAACTGCAGTTCCTGCGGCGATGTGCGACGCTTAGAATATCCCAGTGTTGCTCGGTGTACGGAATTCAGCCAGATCAGGATGACCAGCATACCTTGGATGTTTGTGAGTAGGCAACTCGAGCTTGCACTTCGGCAATGTTTCTTGTCAGCGGGTATGACGTCTTGAGTTCTGCCACACAATTCCCTGTTGTCTATTTTAAAAATGAGCTGGATCATAGCTGATAAAAGTGGTTCTGTTTTGTCGTGGCCAGGTTGCGTGATGTTTTGATGACGTTCGCCCTTTGAAGTCACAGTTTGGCCAGCGCCTTCAATGTGTCCTCGGGGTGAAGCAGGGCCGAGGGCAATCCCAAAAGACAAGCCCGTGCGCTCACGGTGCCACTAGCAACACGAGTCTGTGTTTTTGTGACGGTACCCCTGGCCAGGCGCCTCTACATGCACCATGATGGATATTTGTTCTTCGGAAGGACCCTTACAAAAGTTGCCGAACATGACCACTAACGCTCTATGCATGGCACAAATCCCTCAAGAGCCTCGAGGAAGGGCCTCCCAGGTTTGAGGAAATTGAGCATTATTAAGCCTCATCAAAGCCTTATTCAGCGGGAGTAAGCGGTATTAAGCGCTATAAAGCCTTATTTAAAGCCTTATTTAAAGCCTTATTGAGCAGTTGTTAAGCCCCTTCTCAGTGAAGTTACATTTGAAACAGATTGACTGATTGACCGCTGGCTGGCCAACTAATTGCATCGAATCCTGGAACATATTCACCAGAAATCTAGTTAAAGCGCCACACCTTGAAAAGACCAAAATTTGTTTCTTTCTGAGAAGTAAGAGGGGTAGGGGCAGAGGAGGGCAGGAGAAGGGAGGGGAAGGAGGGGGAGGGAAAGGGGAGGGGAAGGGGGCGGGCTCCCCACCACATTAAGCCTTATGAAGCCTTGTCAAGGCTTATTAAGGCCTGCTGGCAAACAATTGCACGTTCCTGCATTTTGGAACCCCTCCGAAATTCTTGCTAGATTTGGGACTGGGCTGCCCTCAACATCTCAGCGGTGATCCAACCCACCTCATTTGGGAATCACAGCAAGTTTGGCTTCTCACTCCTGCTTTGCGGGCCCCGCAATTGCCGCAGCAGTTGCCTTTGCACTTGGCGCAGTTGAGCAATTTCAGTCAGCTTGATTGATTTGAGCAAAGAACCCCAACAACGATAACACATCATGAAGGACACAGAAAACGTGAACCAACATTAAACATGCAAGACCAAATCTGGGGAGGCCCTTCTTCAGAGGACACCTGATCCCAACCCAGATAGGGGAAATCAATCATTCTTGCATCTTGATCGTGGGGGCTACATTCCCACCCCAAGGAAGTTGAGGGACATGAGGGACTATGTTGCACATTGACCCCACTAAGCAAACAACTACAACCCTTATTGAATTGGCAAAATAGGAACTTAAAGCGCTGCTCGTTTAGGCTCCCCCTTGCCCACACAAAGTCCAATAGCAGAGGTTGAATCTCAGTTTGCCGAATTCTGGGCTTGCGTGAACTGCCATACGTCCTCATCTAGTCCTGGAACCTTTTGGACGGGCTTTGCAAGAAAGCTGAAAGAAAACCAAGAGCAAACCAAAAACCAAACTGGAAACCAACAGGAAACTACCTCATCACTTTGACTTTCAGAGCACTGGACAGAAATCACATCGCCAACGGTTTGCGAGGCCGTCGAAGTGTTTTGTTTTAACTAAACAGTCATGTGATTGTCAACTTCCTTATTCCCTCCCCATCATACTTGTACATTAGGCTCCTTGAGTGAAAAGAGGTTCCCTTATTTCATCTGATCAGAACGCTCAGGTCCACGTCGGCTGCCCAGCAGGCAGGTTGGGTGTCCTTGCAGAGCGTGTGACATTTGAAAGATTGGGGGGGACGGTTGAACAGAGTCGAAGGCAACCGCTCAAACAGTTTTCTGGGTTTTGGCTCGAGCGCCCGCCCTGTTCTAGTGATCCTTAGACTTCCGGCCACACGCATGTCCCCCGCCGTTGCTTGAGTGTCCCTTTTTGTACCGGGCCCTTTTTTTAACATCGTTTTAATTTTGGGTGGTTATTCATTGCGGATCATAGTCATACTCTACAAACTTGTGCTTCTATATTTTGAGTTGGGGCTGGATTAGAAACCAAATGCAGTTTTGGGGCTGTCTCGTTGAGAAACATACAGTAAGTGAACCAGCCACCTGAGGGGCCGAATGGTACCAAATTTGCTTTGGTACAATGTGTTGGTGCATTTAAAACACACATTGCACCCCAAAGTGTCCCTTGCTAGGCTTTGAGGATGGATTTGGGATTTGAAGGTTATAGGACTCGGACTCAGCGGGATCCGTTTTGATTTCCGACAACCAGAGCGTCACTTGCCCGGAGGCGCCAAATTCCTGGCGACAGGGTCGATCCGAAGGATCCCTGGCCGGGGGCCCGCGCGCGGGTGCGCAAGCGAAGCGGGTTTCCATCACTCGATGTGTTTTTCGAAACAGACTTTGCTACCGTGGTCACGCAAAAGTCTGAGGGCGCCGACCGATTATTTGGTGGCCCTGTTCTCTTTCACAGGGAGCGTGGGAAGCCTGGGATACCAACTTCTGCCTGGCGGCGGGGTAAAGCAAGCTCACCCGTGAAGTGTCCCGTGGGTTCGGCAAATGTGGTTTTGGACTGGTTGTTGCTTTTGCTGCATGAATTTTCTTATTCACTCCTAAGAACATGTTTGTCTTTTCTCGCGTGGTTTCTGAGTTTGTAAGATATCCTGTGACGCCTAATTCTTTGCCTGCCACGCAGGCCAGAGCATATGTAGTCCGTGGTCAGCGTCGAAGTACCTTCTGAGCTGCCCTGACGCAATTGATTTCTCCAAGCCCATCCCAACACACAAATGGGCATCATGAGTTGGATGAAGCATGTTGTGAGGCTTGGTAGGCCGGCTCTTCCCTTGAAAACAGGCGCCTTGAAAGGGGTAGCCCAAAATGTGTCACTACTTTGATTGCCTGCTCAAACCAACTGTAAATCAACTCCCTAAACGAGCCTTAAACCAGCCCTAAGCCAATTTTAAACCAGCCCTAAGCCAACCTTAAACCAACCCAAGTCAGGCCTACCGCGACCTGAAACCAACCCAAAACGAAGCCCGAAACAACCCTAAGCCACAGACCAACCCTAGACCAACCCAACCCAAAAATGATGGTCCCGGTTCCTCCTAGGTCAGCGGCGTTCCTTTGAGGCCGGAGCGGAGCGGTCTAGCAATAGACAGGGGTGGGCCACTGAGTGGGGGACATAATGAATAGTTTGAATATTGGCTGTAGCTCAAGGTTCTTGGTACATCTAAGCCGAGGTGGCTCAAGGACGGTACTGCAACTCAGTCCGAATGGTTGCCTTGCATGGGTGGGGAAACTTGGAAGAGTTCTAAGCAGATAGACACAGCTCAAGCTCGACTGGTGTGTCAAAAGTATTTATATATCGTCACCCCCCGGATCCACGTTTTAGTGTTTTGATGAAAGAACACTGGCATAACGATGTTTTTTTGCAGCATTGTTTCGGATCAGATTCTGATCCTGAATTTCGGCGCAGAAAGAAAGTGGAGCAGATGATTTGCGTAGATAGTTCTTGAGGAGCGGATGCTTTGCTTGCAGGCTGGAAAGTGCTGTGTTTTTCTGATTCTACAACCTCACCAAACCTACAATCTCTTGCCAGAACCAGCGCCGCACTGTCCCTACATTGTGTCTTGGGAAGCAAGTTTTTTCTCGATAGTACAGCGCTTTTGGAGCGCAGTGTTGTACTGTACAGCACTTTCTGCGCGCAGGAGCTGAAAGATGCTGCGCTGCCCCTGAAATCTGCCTTCGGACGCAAAACTTAGGGACAGTACAGAACTTTCTGCATGCTCATGCACAAAAACGCTGTACTGCCTGCACTGTCCACAAAGCAAGCAATTCATTGTCAGGATGCCCAAGACTGGTCTTGGCATGAGGGTTTTACCTTTGGGGACAACACAATCATTTTGCTGACGCATGCGGAAAAGTGCTGTCCGCAAAGCCTGGGCTTTGGGCACGCACGCAGAAAGTGCTGCGCTCAAGGAAAAGGAGCGCCTGCCAATCCAATCCGCACCAGACGTCTGCTTCTCCAAGGCACGGCGTTGAAGACAGCTGCCAAAACCTGTTTAGAGACAGTACAGCACTCTTGGCATCCAAAGCCCAGAGTTTAGTGGGTCGCATCATAGTTTGTCACGGCTGCGCGCGCAGAGCGCGGAGCATATTGCCATGTACGATTCCCTTTGCAAATCAAGCATGTTGAGTTTGCAGATGTTGGCACGCCGGTGCCAATATTCGAATTGGGTCGTTCTCACTTCTCGGACAAGGACTGTGCTACCTGGCACTCGGTTTGCGTACTTGATTGCAGCACGCCCCAGAACCTGTCTATGATCTGGGCGCCGCTTTTCACCGTCAACTTCTTGCCGCCCGGCAACTTGAGGTTATAATCCTGAATGTTTTGAGGTTTTACCCACACAGCCTTGCCGTTGATCTTGACCTTCTGTTTCTTGTGCGCCACATGGCACTGCACGACGTCCGGCAGCTTGAGTTTGTACGTGCGGGCGCTGAAGGCAACTGGAGAGAAAGAACGGACAGACGGGACGAGCAGTGAGCCAGCTTTGCTGTTGCTGCAACATAGCAGAAGCGAAGTGCGCAAGCTTGAGCTTCACGCAAAAGGAGACGTACAAAGTCAGGCATGAGGCTCAGCAAGCAGACTTGCGAAAAACAGGTGCTATGACAAAGGCCGCTCACAAGCTTGGGCCGGTCTCGCCCTCCGGCACAACTTTGAAGACTAGGCCCTTGAAGCTGAACACTTCAGAACCGTTGATGGGCAAACGCAGGCACGAGGCAAACGCAGGGGTCAGGAATTCTGCCTAGTGGCCGCATGGTCAATGACAGACTATTGGCGCGCTGGGTGAACTTGGCCAAGTCTTGCGCCACCTCTTCTGCAAAAAGTGGACGAGCCATACTACACCGATAAGGCTCTGGAAGTGGCAGTGGACCTTGACAGCGCTGTGCAGCCTGTCCGCAACATGTGGATACGTCGAGGCCTTGAGCCTACATCCGGTTGCCAGCGCAAAGAGCGTAACATTGCTGGCTTGATTCACGCACAGGCTTGCGCAGGGTATTCGTGTTACACAGTTGCTCCAAGTTTAACATGGCAGCGGAGCAGTGAACACAGGTTCACACGTGGAAAAGATCGGGCGGCCTTTCCATACCAACACACAAGGAATGCCGGCCCAACAGCCATAACAGCAACGGCAGCAGCTGGAAGGAACACACGGGCACAAGGCATCACCACCACGGTGGATGACAGCATATCTTGGACTACAAGATGCATCGCGCAACAGACTGCTGAGACAGTCAGAGAAACCGCAACTGGCAGTTACACATGACCAACTTGAGCCAGCGGCGCCCTCGCAAGCGGTAGCAGAACAATGGATACAACTGAGCAACAAACTACACTACATCTTGGTGAGCACATGCGAGGGACCAGCGTCTACAATTTGCAGACAGCACGCAAGGCAACGGCTTTGAAAACACGGCGGCTACTACGCCTGAGATACTCCATCCTACTTTGCACAGGAAGCGTTGGACGCCTAGCAAAGGTTACTCGAACCACAGCTTGATGGACAGAAGTTCGAAGAGAGCTTCGCAACATGGGAGTTCCAACTCGCCAAAGACGAACAGGACAACAACACCTTACGACCAGATGCTGTGAAAATCGCAGTACTGCCCAACGAGACAAAAGGAGCATTGCAGCAACGCACGGCTGCAAGCACGAAACATCGCAACCTACGCACACATCAGATATCTGGTGATAGAGTATCACAGAGCAGCATCATCATTCAACACCCCAGCACTCACAACAACAGCAACAACCACCAAGGACCAGCGCCGATGGACATAGGAGCAACACAGCACAACAGAGGCAAAGCAAAGAAAGGCAAGCGAGGGCAAAGAAAGGTACAACAAAGGCACAGGCTATGGCAGCTGCGGGAACAACTACTACTACAACTACTCATGGCGAGAAGGCAAGCAGTACAATCAACCGGTTGGAACAGGGAATCCGTTCAAAGGACAACAAGGACAAAGGGTACAGCAACAAAAGAAAGGAAAAGGATACACAACAACCAACAAAGAGGAGAGGGAGCAAAAGGAAAACGGGCAACTCATGTTTCCTACAGATGCAACAGCTAGCGCTACCACAGCCAGCAGATTCATCAGCAGGATTACAAGAAGGACCCACTGTCTTGATTGTCACAGCAAAACAACTCACAGAAGACAACAGTTGGTCCAGTCTCATGATTGACAGCAGTGCGGCTACACAGGTATGCCCACTATGGTTAGCGCCACATGTCCACTACAGCAACTTGAGCATGGAACGGGACCACAACTGAGAACACTGACCAACCAAGGCATCAAGCTTTACGGGTACAGATAGGTTCGCGTGTCAAACCACAGTAAACCACAAATTGTCATACCTTTCTACGTTTGCAAGGTTCAACAGTCAATGTTTTCGGTCACAAGGCTGCTGGAACAAGGTTTCCAACTTACACTGGGTGACAATCCAAGACTACAGCGCAATAAAGGATTCAACAGCACACTGGAGAACAGAGACGGCCTGTTCTTCCTACAGGCAGAAATCGCAGCGGTGCCAAAAGGAACAAAGCCACAGACACACAACACGCAGCAAGGACAGATCGGCGCGACAGCGCCGACTACAACACTTGCGCCACAAGGCAATGCGGACACAGGATATGCAAGAGACTACTGGCAGTTCAATGCAAAAGGAGAACTTGTCAGAGCACACAGGCAATGCAGGAAGACTACTGATGGAGGGAAGGCCCGCGCTGGAAGAGAGTACACATCGAGCCACGCGCAGCATTTTACACACCAGAGCAAACACATGCCGGGCCAGACATCAAGCGACTTACACCTTGGAGACAGACCAAGGTACAACCAGCAAGAGAGGAGGACAACATAAGGGCCTTGGACAGGCTGGACAAACTTCGAGGAACATCATGAGTTTCCTACACCACTCGGGTCAGATGATGAGGAACAGCAGCAAGGCACAAAAGCAAAAGTAGTACAAGTGCCCAAGCAACCAACCCCACAAGAGATCCTAGAGCACAACGTGACACTCCTTCCCTACAGGAGTTGGTGTCCAATTTGCGCACGAGCAAAGTGCATCACACAGCTCGACTTTGGCGCCACACAACTGACCAACAAGAGACTGCTCTTCGACTGTGCAATCACACAACTACAGCGCTTCCTCATTGAGTGTGGAAGAACATCTCGCGCCTTACTACAGTCGGACCAGGAAGAGTTCCTGACAGCATAGCACACAGTTCACAATCGCAAGGAGGGGTTGAGTGAGCGCACAGGACACTGCTTGCA